GTGTGCAATTTGCGCACGTTAAAGATCCCTTGGTGGTCTAAAATCGATAAGAGTAGGCTTCGGCCGCCACCCGGGCAAAATTCAAAATTTCCTACCAACTGAAAATGGTAGGTGTGTCCCACGCGCTCATATGACCTTATGCAGTTGCGAGCGCGGTAAAAACACTTTACAAAAACAAAAACAAGAGGACTTACCGTGTCTTCGTATGATATCACCAAATCTGATGTTTTAGGGTCATTTCCTGCATTGCCATCATCTGTCTTCTTTTCTCTAGATCGTTTCAATTCTTTCAAAATAGTATTGGCCGTTTCGTTCATTTCGCGACTCTGCTTGGACTTCTCATCGCCGTTAGATGTGAGGTATTCTCGGATTGACACTAACAGGTCTCGTATATCGTTTAGCGGCGCACTCTTGTCCACGGCCTCCTGTATGTTCTGAGGCGTGGCCACGGATAACACATTCCTGACTGGCCTGGGTCTCTTAGGGATGTGTATGGACGGCCGCGGGGACGCATGTGGAGATTTCACTGACGGGCTTAAACTGGCCCCTGAAACTTTTCGTGAAACGCTTCGACTCTGGACTGTAGGTAGAACGGGCTGGGAGTCCATTTTTGTCGTAGAAGACATATTTGTACGAGATCGATCAATTACGATCCTTGGCTTTTCTCTGTCTTCTTGGGGTACTTCCAAAAGGGCGGGAAGATTGGCATCCTTTACACTGCTTTCCCTGGGGAGATTGCGAGATGATGTTTGCTTGGTGGTTGAGAGACTGACTTGGCTTGGCACCGCGGATCTCCTTTCGACAGCTGTTGTGGGTTCAATCTTCAGTGAAGATCCATCAATACTTATACGGGGAATGTTTTGATCTTGGGTCGATGCAACAGGCTTTGGATCGACGTCGAATTCTCGGACAGATGGTGTAGTCTGATCCAGACTTCTCCTCCACCCTCCATCTATTGAGCCAAGCTCTGGGGACGCTTGTTTGGGGGGATCAGATAGAGAGCTCCTGACAACGCCACTATCTTCGGGGTCATCCAATAACACTTTGGCAGGAGAGGGCGGAGTCGTATCGGGCTGTACTACATCCATCTGTCCTGGATTAAGGCTCTCAATTTCATTTTGAACTGGAAGGTCAAATACTCCCTCTTGTCCGCTGTCCATGCCACCTTGGGCAGTCGGGTCTTCTAGGTAATGATTTGCCCATTCTTCACTGTCGTCTTGTGGGTAATAATAGTAGTAGTCTTCATCGCCTTCAGGGTAGCCCTCTCCATCGCCTTCAGGGTAGCCCTCACCATCGCCTTCAGGGTAGCCCTCACCATCGCCAAAGTATTCCCAATATGGATCTTGGAGTTCTTCTCCCTCCGTAACTCCTTCCGACTGCAAATTGATTTTATTCCCCAAAGGCGACTTTTCGCTTGCTTCGACATTAGAGCCCTCATAGTCTGGCTCCTTGGTCTTTGTGGGATCCCCCGGATTAGCATTGCTCATGGACGTGTCGCTGGAAAAGATACCTGGTACGTTATCTGGTAAGTTACTCACTTCTATATTCCCAGAATTGACAAGAGGCCGTCTTTCCAATACGGGCTTCCTGCCAGGCGATATGGAATGTCGAGGCTTATTTGGTCGCTGGAGTAGCGGAGACGGAGATCTACATCTAAAAGATCTTGTCTCTGGTGCCTTTTTCAGAATAGAAACAGGTGTAGCAGATAAACTGGTCTGACACGTCATGGTTCCTTGCTCACCCAGGATGACAGTTCTCGGGGACTTGAGCAGATCCTGCATTTGACCAGCCATTATCTCCTGGGCTTCTTCCCACGTCAGTATCTTAGCGTTTTGTATTTCTAGTGTTTGGCTGCTGCAGTTTGTTCTGACTCTTGTTTCAGGTTGTCGACGAAATCCACATATGGACTCAATTCTTGAACGGCCGTCGTGATTTATTATCATGGAACGGTCTGGTCGACGAAAAAACGATATTTCTTCTGAAATGGGATCCATATCAGCCAGCGAGTTCTGAGGGAGGACGATGCCTGGGGAAGACATTACTGCGTCTGTTGATGTCCGTCTGCTCACCGGTGGCGCTGGAGGGACGACTCGATCCCCATCGTCAAGGTTAAACGATACCGATTTGAATTGAATTGACTTCCGATTGTCGTCGGCGTGTGAAAGTTTTAATTCGTTTCTTGACAACTGTTGATCTACATATGTTGATGTCCTCCAATCTTCGGGTTTGTTCGACTCCAGCACTTCTTCAGACAAAGATCTTTGACTTTTATCAACGAAAACTCTTTGTTTTTCATCACTGGTATAATCTGCATGATCTTTTCCCGGTGACTTTTGATTCTTACTTTGGAAATCTGTTTCTCTTAACATTGACGCCCGATCTTCAGCACGAGGTTTTCGAGTGTGCTTAACTTCCCTTACCTCGCCAGTCACTGTCGGTGTGACGTCCATTTCTGGAGGTTTTTGTCTGTTTTCCTCAACGAACTCTTCACCATCATTCAGCAAAAATGTTGAACCTTGTCTTGAGGAAAATCGTCTGTTTTCTTGATCAAGTTCCTCATTCCGTTCTTCTGTGGACATTTTTTTGTGTCTCTTAGAAGATCTTTTCCTGTGCCCATCAACAGCTCGTCTACCGTCATTTGTCATGGATAGTTTGGTTTGTGTTACAGCAAGTCTTTCTTCTTCTGTAGATGTTCGACTTTCACCACTCGGTATCCTCTCTGTAGAGATTCTTTCTTCTCCTGGTCGCGAAAAACTTTTCTCACTTGTCGACGAATCTCGAACTTCCTCACCGAAAGATCTCTCCGCGTGGGAAGATTTTCGAACTTCATCCATTGATGTACTTTCTATAGACTCTCTCGATTCTACTTGGCTCAATGTGTTAGCATCACTCTCTCCCACAGAAGTTTCTTTCCGAGTTGAAGACATGCGACTTCTGCCAACCGACGAGGTTTCGGAAGATCCAGGTGTGAGCGTTATCAGCTCCTCAGAACTCGATCTCGATGAGCTGGCGTCTTTAGAATCTCGGGCGTGTCTTTTGATCCACGCTTTTGTTTTTTCGTTGTCGTCGTGCTTTTTCTTCTCCCTCCTTTTTTTCTTCTTTTTCTTCTTCTCTTTCTTTCTCGTCCGCTCAAGGTCGGAGTCCTCTGATGAATGACTGCTACTTTTTTCGTCTTTCTGTACGGGACAGAAGGAAAGGAAACAGTAAGCGGCATACTGTTTTGGCAGTTGGTTACTAAACTTAAAACCAGCGTCTGTAGTGTAGCGGTTCGGCACTTCGCCATAGCACTCAAGAGACCGACTTCGATTCCCCAATGGCGAGAATTTTTATCAAGTATCTCGGTCTCTTAGCTGGGCTGTTGTATTCCTCTCAGTCTGTGTTTGCTTCAACAGTCAGGGCCGAAACTCTGCCCCCTAAATTATATAAATTGTGTCAAATTTGGCGTAAAAACACCCACATTTATTTATTTATTTATTTATTTATTTAT